CTCTTTCACATTGTCTAATCATTACCAATTTTGTTTTTTTTTTATACTATTACACATCATACAAACATATATCAATCTATCAATTTTGCCTCAGCCGTTCAAACAGAAAAAAATATTCAGATATATTTAATAGTGTATTATGTGAATATATATATATATATATATATATATATATATATATTATAAATTAATTGAGCGGAAAAAACATTTTAAATCAATTAATTTATAATATTATGCTCTGTAAATTTACATTGAGCTCTATTTTGTAAAAATAAAAATATCTATAATAACACTGGATTATATATCTTACTGTTCTTTCTTTTTTCTTTTTATATATATATATATATATATATATATATATATATATAGTAATTTTGTTTAAACTGAAGTTCAGAAGCAAATATTACAGTAGCTATTGCTATCGATCTCATTCTTGTCCTACCTTAAACGTCTTGAACACACACACACACACACACACACACACATATATATATATATATTTATTAATATATATTTCATTAAACAGTTTATATTACGTATATTGTTCTACGAAAAATTTCAATAAAAATATGCATTCTGAGCGGAATCGAACCTATGCTCCCCCGTTTGGCGGAGAAACCGCTATTTTTCTCTGCTTTTAACACTCGGCTAGGAAGCGCACAACATTCAGTATGGCTCTAGTTTTCATTTTCCATACGTATATATATATATATATATATATATATGTATTTATTATAATATATTATCTAACTCTCTCTCTCTCTCTCTCTCTTTATATTTATATATATATATATATATATATATATATATATATATATATATATATATATAACCTATGACTGAGTAAGAAAGTACCAAAATTTTTTTCGAATTGTTTTTTATTTACCCAAGTATTTTCAATCTCATCTGAAACTATCTCCAGGATGTTTAGTGGAAGCGGCTTTGTATAAAGGATTCTGTGAATTTAGAACATTTCAACTTTTTTTCCTTTTTTTAGCTTTTATTCTTTACTGCTTATGCAGCGTTTTACATTTCAAAATTCAAATTTCACGTGTTCTTTTGTTTTTTGTTTTTTTTTTTCGGTGTAACGGAAGTAATTTTTTTTTGTTTTTGCTCATACTTATATAATTTTTTCTTTTTTCATAAGCATTTAAGTTGTTGATATTCTCATAGCTGACTTTATTTATTTTGGGATTTAACTTTCTTATAGGGCTTCAAGGATTTTTAGTTTTTGCTATTTTTTTTATGCAATATTGATGTATATTCAGCTAATATCCGTCTAATCCTTGTGCGTGGGCATGAGTGTTCCTTTAAGTTCTAAAATATTGAGCTATGTTCAACCAAATGAAATGTAATTGTTTTTGTGAGCATCGTCGTAGTAAATCCAACGTACATAATGACATTTTTATCAGAGATACAATCTCCTAAAGGACATTTAAATTGGTATACAATGTTGGCCTTTTGCAAGATGCTATTTGGCGGTGAAGAATTGTTTTGGACAACTAAGTTGGTTGTATTAAATTTAGTATAGTATGTAATTAATTAATTTTCTTACTTGGATCAGTGGGAGATATTTGAGTGTTTATGAGTATTTTTTTATATATATATATGAGTAAAAGATCAAATGCAGATCAAATATCGATCGGAAATCGGCAGGTTGATAAAATAGAAGAATAAATAGGAAACGTATATCAATCTAACATGTTTAACTTTTATGAAAGCTTTCACAGAGATGGAGCGAAAACAGCCAAAAAGAAAGAAACTGGTATTTTCAATTATGTTTGGGTCAGTTCTCATTGGCCAGACAAGAGTATTAAAATGGTAGATAATTCTCTGTGAATGTAGGTTTGTGAAGATTCTTGTACGTGGGAATCGTATGGCAATGTATATAATGAGTGCTGATTCTAATAAAATAGTGCTCTATGCAATAAAACAGAGCGATAAAGTATATATTCCTAAATACATATTTTTCTTTACCTATAACACGACTCCCTGTTTCATACACAACGCAATCTTCACCTTGCATGAAACTCCGAGTCGTGCTACCAGTGGGGGAACTATATATATATATATATATATATATATATATAGATAGATAGATAGATAGATAGATAGATAGATAGGGAGAGAGGGAGATAAGGAGAGAGAGAGAGAGAGAAATTATCAAAAATACATTTAAAAACTTCTTTGGGAGCAGATTCCTCAAGCCAAAACAAGTCCATATAAAAAATGTCCGAAAATACTCCGTTTTTGAGTTATTAAGTTTACGGTAGATGGCGCTGTGCTAGCATAGGGTCTAGGTTACACTTGAAATTCGTGCACATTTGTGGTTAGCCTTTCTGCAACGTTTAATGTGTGTAGTAGCGAGTTAACTTAGAAGGTTTTCGTTTACCAGTGACAATATTCATATCGTAAGCAGGCAGATATGATTTTTACCTATGGCGAGCAAATTGTAATGGACGCGAGGCTAAACGGCTTTATCAGATTTCATTTTAAGACTGAAGGCAGCCAAGTTATTCAACCTTTGGTGCTGTTTATCGTTGCGTTGCTGAGACAGGATCTGTGGCACCACAAACTTTGTAACGGGGAAGACTGAGTTCCGTTCGTACGCCTGAACATGAAGAACACATTCTATAAGCGGTCAGAGACGATCCAGGTATCAGCACAGGTCAAGTAGCCCTAGCATGTAGTATATTTCATAGTACTACATAGAAATTACTTCAAGTGCAGCTCCTGTATCCGTATAATTTGCAACGTGTGCGAGGCCTTTCGTCCTCTGATCAGTCACCACGGGAAAACCTTTTCCGATGGTTTATTGCACAAAATGCCGAAACCTTGTTTGTCTCTTCAGTCTTGTTTGCGGGTGAGGCAGCGTTTGAACGAGAAGAAAAGAAAAATACACAACCAATATTTGTGGGTGGATCGGAATCCCTATGGTGCAAGACAGTATAGATACCAGCATCAGTTTACGATTAATGAATTGTAAGTGACTGCCTGGTAGGTCCATATGTACCCCCAGCACGCCTTACAGGAGCCGTCTAAAAAAATTTATTTCGAATACACTACTAGACATGCTAGAGGATGTAACCCTATTAATACGAAGACGAATGTGATTCATGCCTGATGGGGCTCCAGCATAATTTAATCACATTTTCTTGATTCTCTGGCCGACATCTACCATGGAAAATGGATAGTTAGGGAAGTAACTGCACATCCCCCAGACTCCAATACTTCGGATTTTTATCTGTGAGATCACATAAAACAATTGGTTGATGCATTAATAATGCAGAGACACTTCAACGTGTTATTGGGTACTGTGAAATCATTTGAAACCGTGTGGGAGTATTTGAAAGGGTCCGCCAGTCAATGATCCGACGGGTGCAAGCATGTGTAGAAACAAGCGGAGGACGTTTTGAACATTTGTTATGAGTTCCTGTGTTGAGCTACAGCGATGGCCTTTTGGACATGCGTTTATATGGACATTTTACATTCTTTTGGTGTCAGGAGCCTGCCCCTAATGTTTGTAAAAGATTTTTTGATGCATCTTATATATATATATATATATATATATATATGTGTGTGTGTGTGTGTGTGTGTGTGTGTGTGTGTGTGTGTGTGTGTGTGTGTGTATATATATATGTGTGTGTGTGCATATATATATATATATATATGTGTGTGTGTGTGTATATATATATATATGTGTGTGTGTGTATATATATATGGGTGTGTGTGTATATATATATATATATATATGTGTGTGTGTGTATATATATATATATATATATATATATTCATCGTCCTTCACCATTCCTTATATGTCATCATCCTTCACCATATACCATCATCTTTCACCATATACCATCATCTTTTTATCATTCCTTATATGCCATCATATTTTACCATTTCTTATATGCCACCATGCTTTACTATTCCTTATATGCCATCATCTTTTTACCATTCCTTATATGTGATCATCTTTCACCACTCCTTATATGCCATCTACAATAGTCCTGCATTCATTTACTCAAACTTTCTCATGATTTTAATTATATCCTGTTTGATATATATATATATATATATATATATATATATATATATATATATATATATATATATATAAGGTATGGAGTAGTTGTGGATAGAGGCTCGGATTGAGGAATCGGATAGCCGAGTTCGAATACCAGTCGAATCTATTACATTCTCTTCCATACTTGGGAAAGGTATGAATCCACTTCTTCTTCCCCCAGCTATGGATAAATAGCAGAACAAGGGATGGTAATTCTTCCGGGAAAAGGAAAACTCTGAATTCAAAACTTGCTGAGGTCTGAATTCAAAACTTGTGGCATGTAGTATTTGACCCTTAAGAAAAGTGTGGTTGGTTCTGCACAATGTCAATAATCAAATCATATGTCCTGGTGACTAGCTTCCTAGGAACCTCATATGTCGAGTCCACCAACATATATATATATATATATATATATATATATATATATATATATATATGTGTGTGTGTGTGTGTGTGTGTGTGTGTGTGTGTGTGTGATTATCCATGCGGAAAAATTTCAATTTTTCAAAACCTCTACGTCAAGAGTACACTTCCAATTTCAAATGTACGAAATCAACTCATTGTAGAAACTTTTAATCTTGTACATAGGCTCACCACCTAATATAATATCTACTTACGAGAAAATAGCAATTGGTAAATCAATTTCTATAGAGAAATAATCCAGAAAACATATTTTTATTAATTCAATTGCGTATTTCACAAAAGCTGGTGCATGTAAAATGAAGACTTCTTCATCACTACATTTAGAAGTAGATGCTCATTAATACGAATTCAACTATGTAGGTTTTAACATACCCAACAAATTAAACAGTAAAGCCTCAATGCATATGAAAGTAGGACTCATGTCTTCATGCGTAACAGAATGATTGTCTATAATGTTATTTACATTTTTACGTGCTAATGTAGTACATTTTTATTTCAGTGAATAAATCTCATGGTTGTTGCTGTAAGTGAAGTGACAACATATTTACTCACAAGTTCAATTCTTTTCTTCATCCGTTATATGCCATCATCCTTTACCATTCCTAATATATTATCATCCTTTTACCATTCCTTATATGTCATCATCTTTTTTACCATTTATTATATGTCATCATCCTCCACCATTCTTTATATGCCATCATCCTTTTACCATTCCTTATATATAACCATCATTCACCATTCCTTATATATAATCATCCTTTTACCATTCCTTATGTGCCATCATTCTTCGCCATTCTTTATATGCGATCATCCTTTTACCATTTCTGATATATCATTATCTTTCACCATTCCTTATATACCATCATCCTTTTACCATTTCTTATATGCCACCATCTTTTGCCATTCTTCATATGTCATCTTCCTTTTACCATTCTTTATATGTCACCATCCTTCACCATTCCTTATATGACATCATATCCTACCATTCCTTATCTGCCATCATCCTTCACCATTCCTTATATATTATCATCCTTTTACCATTCCTTATATGCCATCATCCTTTTTACCATTTATTATATGTCATCATCCTCCACCATACTTTATATGCCATCATCCTTTTATCATTTCTTATATATCACCATCATTCACCATTCCTTATATATAATCATCCTTTTACCATTCCTTATATGCCATCATTCTTCGCCATTCTTTATATGCGATCATCCTTTTAACCATTTCTGATATATCATCATCTTTCACCATTCCTTATATGCCATCATCCTTTTACCATTTCTTATATGCTGCCATCTTTCGCCATTCCTTATATGTCATCATCCTTTTGCCATTCCTTATTTGCGATCATATTTTTACCATTTATTATATGCCATCATTCATCACCAATCCTTATATTCCTTATATGCCGTTATCCTTTTACCATTCCTTATATATCATCATCCTTCGCCATTTCTTATGTATTATCTTCCTTCACCATTCCTTATATTCCATAATCTTTTTAAAATTCTTTATATACCATCATCCTTCACTAGTCTTTATATGCTATCATCCTTCACCATTCCTTATATATCTTCATCTTTTACCATTCCTTATATACCATCCTTTTTTTACCATTCCTTATATGCCATCATCCATCACCATTCCTTATATGTCATCATCCTTTACCATTCCTTATATGTTATCATCCTTTTACCATTCATTATATGCCATTATCTTTTTGCCATTCATTCCTTATATGCCATCATCCGTCACCATTCCTTATATGCCATCATCCTTCACCATTCCTTATATGTCATCATCCTTTTACCATTCCTTATATGCCATCATCTTTCACCATTCCTTATATGTCATCATCCTTTTACCATTCCTTAGATGCCATCATCCTTCACCATTCCTTATATGTCATCATCCTTTTACCATTCCTTATATGCCATCATCCTTCACCATTCTTTATATGTCATCATCCTTTTACCATTCTTTATATGTCATCATCCTTCATCATTCCTTTTATGCCATCTATAATTGTCCTGCATCCATTTGCTTAAACATTCTCATGATTTTAACTATGTCCTGTGACTTTCTCATGATTTCAACCTTGTCCTGTGAGTGTTATATTTCAAGGCTCAATTCTTTTTTTGACCATAAGATTTTGGTGTGGTCCCGTATTGAACTCACATCTCTTTGGGTCAAGTCATATTACAATTTGTTGACGTTGTTTTTCTCTAGCTCTCTGTATTGCTGGTTCCCATCGTGTTTTCCAGTCTATACTTGACCGGTTTAGGAGATTTTTTTAGTTTAGTTTATGCGCTGATTCCTTAAATTTTCGTATTTTCCTGTGATGCTCTGTGTATTACTTCAACCTCATCCCACAGAGAGCGGTGAGATCCCTTTTCCCACGCCTGATTTTTCTATTTCCCCTCGTGTTACGGCTTTACGGTGTTCTTGCTGTCTGAGATAAATGGCACGGCACGTGGAACTACAACAATCTACCCCAGTGGAGAAAATAAAGAGTTCGAAATTCCAACGTATATCATTTGAAGAAGGCCGGAGCGTACAGCGGCCGAAACTTCGTGAATATAACAATAAAGTCGAAGGTAACAGTCCGAACAATGTAAATGGTGTAAATAGTTATAATATCTCAGAAATATGGACAGATCCTGAAGAAGGCCGGAGCGTACAACAGCCAACCCTTCGTGAATATAACAATAAAGGTGAAGACAACATTTCGAACAATGAAAATAATGTAAATAGTTTAATCTTTCATCTTAGAAATATGAACAGATCCTGAAGGAAGCCGGAGCGTACAGCGGCCTAAACATCGTTAATATGACGATAAAGATGAGGACAACAGTCTGAACAATGTAAATAGAGTGAATAGTTTGGTGGAAGGTCAATAGTTTGGTTTTTGAGGCATTGAATGTGAGCTTGTTTTTGCCCTTAATTGTCAGTTTCAAGTTCATAGTTTAATTGAAGATATTGAAAAAAAAACCCCAAAAAAACAAAACAACAGGTGTTTACTTCGCTTACTTTAGTCTGAGACGAGTTCACATATTGGGAAATTAGTGGAGATCGAATTCATTAACCGATCTTCGTATCTAGCTTGCTAACGAATACTTCACCCCCTAAATATTTACAAATCTTAACTTATTTTACATGAATGCTTTAGCGGGGATCGAACTGATGATTGAATTTGCAAAAGGTCTGCTTGGTAAACTTCCAACAAATCGACACTTAAGCTGGGCACATTATATTATATAAATCTAGCTACGACAACGCCTTTTGTTTATATTATTTAAAATCTGACTTTTTTTTTAATTTGTTGGCGTTGAAGGTTTCTGTGGTCTAAATAAATTAGCGATTCTGTTGTGGGACGCAATTTCAGATTCGGCCTTCTTTGCCTCTACACCGGTTTCTTGGTATTTACCGTTGTTGTTTTCCTTGTATCCACTTCGTTCCTTCCTTCTATCGTACGTTGTACGCCGACAGATCTCACTATCTTCTCCAAGATGGTCGGCTTATCTTTTCGGGACGCCAGTCACTTGCCCGGATCATAAACATGCTGGACATCCGGGCACACAACACACCCAGCTGTTTCTCCTCGATTCCGTCCAACTACGCTAATATTAAGTTGTTACAAAGAAGGGTCTCATTTGACGGAACGACGCACTCACCTACTGTTAAATTGAAGTCCTATATGCCAGACAAAGACGAATTCTCATTCGTCGAGAGTAAGGCAAGTCTTGTTTACCATCTCTGCCATTCAACTCGGGTGTTGTTTCACTGTCTGCTACTCTTTCATATTGGGATTTATTATCATTCAGTTGGAAAAATTCGCAGCTTTAGCCATATCTATCATTATCTTATATTAGTTCTTATCTACTATTATCTAACTTTTTTTTTATTTTTGAAGAGATTTTCTTTTAATCAGATTAGATTTCTTGTCATTATGAACGTTATTTTTAGTGGGTACACGTATTTGAGTTGGTGTCACGGGACGAATATTTGACTTAATCCAATCGTTCCTAACAAGTCGAGTAATGAATGTCTAGTTGCATGGACTCGCTTCCAGATCTTTTCATAATAACGCGGGGTTCCCTAGGGGTTTATTCAAAGACCTATGCTGTTTCTGATCTTCATCAATGATCTCCCCGATGTCATCAATTCCCAACGTGGTATTTATGCAGAATTTATAACCATTTACTCCTGGCTTAGTAGCGAATCTGACACATCTGACGAAGTGAGCCTGGCAACTTCTCTTGAAAAGAACCTCTAATCAGTGGTTAACTGGGACAAGAAATGGCTTATGAATTTTAACGTCTCCAAAACTGTTTTAATTTAATAACCCCAGAGAGGCTTTACTGCCTGCCATCAATGTGGCTGATGCTGAACTCTAGGAGAGCAACACTATGCGACATCTTGGATTCAGGTATTCTACACACATGAAGTCGAAGCGATTATATTGATCAATTCCAAAATCAAAGAAAGTTGGTCCGTGCAGAAATATTTTCTCCTTTGAATCCATTTTGCACATTTATAAATCTACCATTCGTCCGTGCATTGAATATTGTTGCCATGTTTGATCTGTTGCTCCTGCTGTACATCTTTAAATTCTTGGCAAAATCCAAAGAAGTGTCTGTAATGTAATTGATCCTAAACAACCATCTCAACTTTAGTCACTTGCTCAACGAATTGTTATGGCTTCCCTCTGTCTTTATTACAAAATATCTCGTGGCGATTCTTCTAATGAGCTATTTTCTCCCCGGTGCCCCGAATATACATGAATGTAAGGAATTAAGAAGACTGAAGATAACGACTGAATTTTCACATACATTCTTGAAAATCAAAGTTGACTGGAAATCAAGACACCGAAAGACTGATAGGCAACAATAAACTACAGAAGAACTCAAAATTAATCACTGCATTTAAGTACTGCATTAATATATAAGCTTACCTTTTAAAAGTTCAACGATAATTCTTTTGCAGCCACTTAATTTAAAACAATTTGATGCAAGTAAGTTCTTACTTTCCGCATAAACAATTATTTTTATTTCGTCGGTGACTTTCGCTGGATTTTGCAATTAATTTCGATTATTCCCAAATATATTTCCAAGTTATAAAAATTGTTATCGTACAAAAAAAAAAATTGTCGCAAACAATTACGTAAAAAAACACCGAAAACAATGGCAGTAATGAAAACTTGGGAATCCAAAATTTCAGGATTGCAGGTCTGGATCTAATCCGGAATATTTTTAATTTGCTAATGGAGTCGGCCTGATTCCAAAATGGTATAATATGTTTGGCTACGACCTCTAGGAATAAAGTTGAAAAAGTGTGACGTATTGACACACTGACATTGGCATTTATTATTTAGAATTATGACACGACACATTGGCATTTATTATATAGAAGGAAGAGATGAGCTATTGAGAGTTGTGTCCGTTTAACCGAAAATATTTATGTTATGGTCCAGGTTAGGACCAACGAAGAACAACACGAACACAAGAGTAGAAATAACGAAGGTATATTACACTAAATAATAATACAAGATGTGGAAGGTGTTAGTATGACTGTCAGTCTGGTTTGGAGTGACCAACTATCGGCTCGACTCGATTCGGTATCTAGCACCCACCCCACGAGGGTTGCATGTGGCACAAGGCCGAGTTTAACGTGGGTTTCCCGAGCCCGTAGGCTCGGCCAAAAAATGCCCATAGAACCCGTATAAACGGGATCGGGTTGGTCAACCTCCCCGAACGAGACTCTACCCTTCGGCGGAGCCTCATCCGGGTTCCTCTCCTCAGAGGCAGAGAGTTCGACCGTCAAGCCGAGAAGCTCGGCTTGATTCGGTATCTAGCCACCCTCCCACGAGGGTTGCATGTGGCACAAGGCCGAGTTTAACGTTGGTTTCCCGAGCCCGTAGACTCGGCCAAAAATGCCCTTAGAACCCGTATAAACGGGATCGGGTTGGTCAACCTACCCGAACGAGACTTTGCCCTTCGGCGGAGCCTCGTCCGGGTTCCTCTCTGCTCAGAGGCAGAGAGTTCGACCGTCAAGCCGAGAAGCTCGGCTTGATTCGGTATCTAGCCACCCCCAATGAGGGTTTCATGTGGCACACGGCCGAGTTTAACGTGGGTTTCCCGAGCCCGTAGACTCGGCCGAAAAATTCCCGTAGAACCCGTATAAACGGGATCGGGTTGGTCAACCTACCCGAACGAGACTCTACCATTCGGCGGAGCCTCGTCCAGGTTCCTCTCTGCTCAGATGCAGAGAGTTCGACCGTCAAGCCGAGAAGCTTGGCTTGATTCGTCCCTCTCTCTTGAGAGGCGTAGTATACATAGTGTTAAGAAGAGTTCATTCTGCAGTTATAGGTAAGGACCCATGACAGTTTAACACACTGATATTGGCATTTATTATATAGGTTGATGTCACATAGTAATTCAATCATCTTTTATTTACTCTACTTACATTATTCGGACTGTTGTCTTCATCTTTATTGTCATATTCACGACGTTTCGACTGTTGTAGGTTCCCGCCTTTTTCAGGTGATATACGTTAGAATTTCGAACCGAATCCTTTATTTAGTCCATGGGGATAGATTGTAGAACGACCGAAACGTCGCGATTATGGCAATAAAGATAAGGACAATAGTCCGAATTATGCAAATAGTATAAAACGACGCCTAATCTAAAAAATATAGACAAATCTTTTATTTGTTTTTAACTAAGTTTTCCTGTTTCTTTGTTCAGCTTGTGGAATGTATGTCTAACTATTCAAATGCCGTCCAGATTTCTATGTTATATGTTTCATCGTCTGATGTAACACTTTCCAGATAGTTAAATTTTTGTACTTGCTTAGGTTTCGACATTTTCAATTCGTAACTCGCATTTTCGCCTAACAATACGGAAGCCTTTCCCATGTGACAAGCAGTACAATTAAATCTTTTAGTCGTCCGAATTGTATTTATTGTTAAGAGATTTTCGCATTACTGCAGACCAATCAAAAAAGAAAAAAAAATATGGTAAGGTAATGAATTGAAAGCTAGGAAGAAAAGAAGGACGGGAGAAAGAGAGAAGACGAAAAAAAAAGAAAGAATAGAGAAAAGAAGAATGAGAGAAAGGAAAATAAAAGAGGGAGACAGAAAAAAGAAAATAGAAAGAATGAAATTAAAAAGGAAAGGAAGAAAAAAAGAAAGAATGAAAGAAAGAAAAAAGAAGAAAATAAACAAGAAAGAAAGAAAGAAAAGAGAATGAATAAAGGAAACGAATAAAAAGAGAGGAAAATATAGATAGGAAAAAGAAAGAAAGAAAAAAAGAAAAGAAAAAGCAGAAAAGAATGAATGAAAGAAAGAAAGAAAGAAAGACAAGAGAATTAAGAAAAGGAAAAGAATAAAGAAAGAAAGAATGAAAAAAGAAAAGAGAATGAATAAAGGAAAAGAATAAAAAGAGAGGAAAATATAGATAGAAACAAGAAAGAAAGAAAAGAAAAGAAAAAGCAGAAAAGAAAGAAAGAAAGAAAGAAAAGAGAATTAAGAAAAGGAAAAGAATAAAGAAAGAAAGAATGAAAAAAGAAAAGAGAATGAATAAAGGAAAAGAATAAAAAGAGAGGAAAATATAGGTAAAAAAAGAAAGAAAGAAAAGAAAAAGCAGAAAAGAAAGAAAGAAAGAAAGAAAAGAGAATTGAGAAAGGAAAAAGAAGAAAGAAAGAAAGAAAGAAAGAAAGAAAAATGTCTAATGAAAATGTAGCAAAAGCTGATAAAAATAAGAAGAAAAAATAAGGCACGGAAAATGAATGAAAAAAGAAATTAAGAAGGAAAAAAAAAGAAAAAAAATAAAGTTAAAATATTGAATAAAAATAAGAAAAGAAAAAGAAGCAGGAACAAAATGAAAAAAAAAAGCAATTACCGAAAGACCGCAGAAGAATTAATTAAAAGAAAGTGAAAAAGTAATGAATAAATGAAGATTATTAGCGAACGCCCATTGAAAGTTTGTCGATTATCCCTATTATAAAGTTCATGAACAGTGTCCTATCAAGATATGTCTATAGAAATATCCCCATCTTATTTCATGGTTGCTTTGCTGTGGGCCCCTTTCTCGCGCTTTCTAGTCCACCTTCCCGCTCTTTTCCGCCGCCTACTTTCCACTTATTTTTCTTCTATTAGCGGGATTTGAAGCCTGCGCTGAGGCTGGGCTGTCTATTGAAAAGACGCCACTGACCCGTTAACACGGAGATTTAATGAACGAATTAACTTAGTGGTTTATGCGTTTACATTTTGCTCTTGTGAGATTTTTAATAGAAATTGTCGACTTAACCCAGTTCAACTTCTAAACGATTCGTGTCAACATTGACGACCCCAAGAGAGAAGAGGATAATGAGAGAGAGAGAGAGAGAGAGAATACGAAGGAAAATAGAACGCTTACTTCTTTCTTTCTTTTTTTTCTTTTTCGACATTCTCCCACTCGCTCTTTCTGTTTCTCACTCTCTTTTCCTTTTCAGAGGGCGAGAAAAAAATAATGAATATATCAAAAACATAGATATAAATAAATAAATTAAGAGTTAATGACGTAAAAAAAAAGATAGAGAGAGAAAATTTAGAGGAAAGAGGGGAAAATGAAGTTAAAGAAAGGAAGTGATTCAGAGAGAGAGAGAGAGAGAGAGAGAGAGAGAGAGGAGAGAACAGATAAATGATTAGTGCGAGGCGGAGGAGTAAGATGCTATAAGTATGTTTATTATAATAACGTTCGTTTTACACTTATGTTCATTTAATACAAGGCCGAGAATCCACTCATGTTAGAGGGTTACTGAATATTATATTAGCGTATGAAGATGAGATAAGTGCAGTTTGTGAGGTTATGTAGGGCTAAACATAAACTTGAAGAGGTTAAAATTGTAGCGATCGAGGAAACATTCCCAAGAGTAATTCTAGCGAGTTGAACTTGTTTCTTACTTATGGAGTAAGGGAATGAGATTGATTCGTCCCTGTGTATGTCATGAGGGGTCTTAGCTGTAAAGGTCTGAACTAGTGGGACAAAGGAGTGTAGCTCATTGAAATAGCGACAGCGTGGTGAGAGGCTTGGGATAGGTAGATGCGAAGAGAACAAATAGATAAACAGATACGAAGTAAAGAGAGGTAGACACGAACACGATAGATAGATAGATAGATAGATAGATAGATAGATAGATAGATAGATAGATAGATAGATAGATAGATACGAAGAGAATAGATAGAGGGATATGAAGAGAATAAATAGATAGATAAACAGATACGAAGTAAAGAGAGAGATAAACAAACACGAAGAAAAGAATTATAGTTACGAAAACGACAGACAGACAGACAGACAGATAGATAGATAGATAGATAGATAGATAGATAGATAGATAGATATCAACAGAATGAGGCAGGTAGGTAGATATCAACAGAATAAGATGGATAAATAGATAAGAAAATAATGAGATAGATATTAACAGAATGAGATAGGTATTGCCTGAATTAGATGAATAGATAGATAGATAGATAGATAGATAGATAGATACGAAAAGAATAGCTAGAGAGATATGAAGAGAATAAAGAGATAGATAAACAGATACGAAGTAAAGAGAGATAGATAGACACGAATAAAAGAGAGATAGATACGAAAAAGAAAGATAGAGAGATATGAAGAGGATAGATAGATAAATACGAAGAGAATAGATAGATAGATAGATAGATAGATAGATAGATAGATAGATAGATAGATAAAAAGAGGGAGAGATGTATATGCGCAAACTGCAGCATAGGTAAGAACAGATTGTAATGGAAAGGCATATTGATAGATGTAAAAGTTAAACAAGGGACTAAAAAAAATATAAAACCTAAACATAAAAATGAAGATCCTAATATTGGGGATTCCTTAGGATATTTGTTCAGGGCAGATATAAAGTGCCGATATGTTTTAACAGGAAGCGATTATTTGTCCACGATAAAGAAATTCGCCATCCACTTTAGACATTAGCAATCCATTTCTGAAAACGTATAAAAATGAAGAAAATTGTAAGAAAATACAAAATTAGAAATATTTGCAGACCATGAGGAGTAGAGTAGAAGGAAGAGGGAAGCACAGGGAGAAGGAAGAGGAGGAGAACAGGGAGCAAGAAGAGGAGGGGGAGGAGAAGAGGAAGGGCGAGAATAGAGTTTGAATAATAAAAATGTAAGCGAATGCTAATCTTAATAATATAAAAATGAAAAGAAAGAAGTGACTCCCGAAAAGAAAGAAGAATATGTTTGGCAAAGAAGATTACAATAAAAGTAAATAATGATACCGTCCTGATTAAATGAAATTCTTTGACATCAGAATGGATGAGGATAAAGACGAGAGAAAAAGAAGAGAAAAGAGAAGAAAACTGGGTGAAGAAAAGGATGAAAAAAAAATTAAATGTGTGGATTTTATGTCGGTGAACAATAGTAAAACAGAAAATACGCATAAAAATGAAAAAGATCCACTTTATATATATATATACATATA